GCATTAATGCATTAGCTCATGTATACTAGATCCCTAACTTTATATGGATCTGTAAACTGCTGCTATATTTTCTTATTTAATGATTTTATGTCATTTGTGAAAATAACATTTCATGAAAGTTGCCAATACTTTGTGTCGCAGGACTTGAGAGCGAAATTTTCACTGCTGCAAAATTTTCATCTGGGAAATTACAGTGGTTCACAGTATGGATCATTACCTGTAATATCTTGTGTACATTTTGTGGATCACCATAATCATCAAATCTATATAATTTATAATAACAATGATTATCAAAAAAATCAATTTATTCTGAAATGTAATAAATGTTAAACACAAAAATAAGAATAATCACAGTGACTTTAAAAGTATCATGTCTGGCATAGGACTTTAAATAGGTAATAATGTGTTCCATAAGTGGGTCAGTTGTGTTCATGATAATTTGTAACTGGTATGTATTCAGGCAACTCTATTAAAAATGGCTGCCCAGTAGTGCAGATCAGTTTAAAATATACAAAAGCAAATGGGTGATTTTCTCTTCTTTTTTTCTTACCTACAGTACTCTGTTTTGTCAATTTAAAACAATGAGAGGCATGTGAACTATTCTTTGCATCTTCCTCTTGTTATTAAGTGTGATTTATTATTAAAATTTTGCTGGTGAAAAAGAAATTTTACTTTTGTGATGAGTGAAAAACCGTGACTATGAATAGAAGCTTCCCAGACTTTGTATGTGCATTGCACTGAATGATGGGATTAGGCAGCAATCATGCAAAGAAAAATCTTCAAGCCAGCCTGTTTTGGCTGCTGAATGATTAGATTGAAAAACACTCTGGCATATCACATGCCGGGGAGCAGTGGAAACTGACTAAGTGCTCTACCTATTTTGGCGTATGCGATACAGTGGCAAAAATGGGAAACATTAGAAAACAGCTAATGTGATACGTAATCACGCAGTTCCCTTTTTCACCGTACTTGAAAGGTTTTTATGGGGAAAAAAATCTCACCATTTGAAAAAGTATCATCTACTTTACAAAGTACGGTAATCACAATTACAGAAGATGAGAAGCATTTCTATGGAGCATACTGTAAAATTTTTTATTGACATCATAATTTCACTTCAACCACCACCACCAGTGGCAGTTCCCTCTTTTTATCTCAAATTCTCAAAATAAATAGTCCTTATAGACTGCACTTTCCTTTAGAAGATTGGGACAAAAATAGCAAAATTTTTCGAGTAAAAACTGAAAATTGACTCAAATTTTGTATTGACTCCAATATTAGGGTTCATCTCTAGAAATATTGAAGAAGGAAAGAAAAAAGTGCAGAAAAATATTTGGGCAAGAAAGTCTGGTGGTGAAAAGGTTAATGAACAGATTCATTGATCTTGGGAGAAATTGTTAAAAATCAACACTTTATAATTAAATTTAGATTTTTCTGTAATTTCTTAGTAAATTTTGAACCAAACAAGGTTTTTCTACTTATGTGTATGTGCATGTAGCAGGTGTATGTTGTTTTGAAGGATACATGTGTCATCTTATTGTCGAATAAAAGAATCTAAATATACTCGTAACCGTAAGGTTTTAGTAGACATGCAATAAGGATGTTATGACCTATCTAACATATTGTGAGATTATGCTATCTGAATCAATTTGGGAAATTCATGATCCACTCAATATTTCCATAATTTCCAGACACTGTGAAAACATTATGTCTGAAGATTTAGTAATCAAGGGTCAACGTGTGAATGTGTATCAGTGCGAGTTCTCATAGCAAAATGTTCTGTTAAAAAAACATTGATCTTTGTGGGTGTGGTTTAATTTATCTGATGCAAATACAAATATGTGATAACTCTGAGAACAAGCTAAAACCATAAGTGTAAAAATGATGATGTTTGTGCTATCAAATTTTGTCTATGCACAGATATGTACAAACTAACTTTATTCAAACTTGGTACAAATGCAATTTATATGTTTGTTGTCTTTCTTCACATCTGTATTGCATTTTCAAAATCATAATAGGGATAAAGCAATAAATATAATTATTATTATGATATTTTCTTTATTAAAAATGTTCGTAAAGTAATTTTTTTGTTTATGGGAGCTCTGTTAAACATAGCTTCTAATAGAGCCCCATCAAGATTATAAATAAGCATCATTTTTCATAAAATTATAAAGATTTTCTGGTTCAATGAATTAGGAAATACATGTATTGAGTTCAAGTAATCATAATACTTCCTTGAGGGAATATTTGTAATTTTGATGGCTCTAAAACACTTGATAACATAGTTAGTGAGGATTACCTTATAATATAAAATGCAAGATTTTAATAAATTGGATCTAATGAAAATATGAATTATTAAGAAGCTGATATTACCTTTTTTAAAATTAGTATGCTATTCTTAGTAGCCTTTGTGCATATCGATAGCCTAATTATGCTAATAGGAGAGTGTATAACTTGACTAATTCATAATTTATTCATTGTCAAAATATGTGAATATTTGTAATTTTATGTGAAAAAGATTTGGCTTGCGACCCATAGCCACATTCTAAAAAAAGTCAATGCCGCATGATAGACTGGTTGCTTTAACAATTTTTAAAAAAATTCCATGATTTAATCACAATCTGATGCCTTTCCAGGAATGACACATTGGCATATTAATATTCTATAAACCTTTTAACTTGGATCTTTTTGTTTTAACGCCAACTACCGGTACAAAAAAAAGATAGTGATATTTCCTTATTAATATTGAACACAGTAGATACATATCACACAGTATGATACATTGATAAATATAGCAGTCTGGTTACCAAAACTACAGCTGTTTGTTAATCTTTCTGATTTGGTTGATTTATTTTTTTAATACTTCTATGCTTTTATGAATACACCGTAATAATATTGTTGCTAGTAGCGATTCAGTCTATTTTGTTGTGCATCATCTTGTACACGTACAATTGCCCAGTCTATTTAGTTATCACCATTTTAAAAAAAAATTACTATTCAATAATATACTTCAGTTAATTGGTTAGCTTATATGATTAATATACAATTGACAACCAACTTCAAGGTAACAGCTACCTGTGATTGCATTCAATGACTATCATTCCTATTATATAGATTATGCAGGTCTCTGAAGCCATTTATATCTAGATTGTAGCCATACAAATGATGGTTTTTTTTTTTTTGTACAGTTGTCATAGTACAAAAATGTCATTTCCAGTAATTATTATAAATCCCAAAATATTGTTCCTAAAATTGATTGATTTAATAGTACATAATTCTTGATTGGTTATAATTGATACATTATGTACTTTGTAGTACACAACTTTTGATTGGTTGAAAATTGTACAAGGGAGTACATGGATAATGATTCTACACCTGTCTCTGCTCATGCTCCTAATCAACCTGTATTAATTAATTATTATTACAAGTCAAGCATATCATCCTTAGTTATCCCCTTGGGATTCCTTGACTGCAGGGTAATTTTGTAAAGTGTACCTTTCTTTCACTGTGTTATTATAATAATAAATGATTATAATAAATCATTGGCCTTCTTCATTTTTTCCTGCAACATGAGCCATTTAGTCGGAATATCTATGGATTTAAATTGTTAAAAAAAGTTATCCATTATCTGTGTTAGTGTGAAGCAGTGTGCAGGAGGGCATTTATTGTATGTGTGTATGTATGTATACATGTACATGTATGATTCATG